AAAAAATTTGTTTGAAAATTTGAAAAAAATAATAAAGAAGAGAATTTGAATTACTTTAAAAATAGGCGCGTTTTCCGAAAAATCCGATCCTTTGACAGGAAAAAATGTGTCGAAAAGCTAAAACCAGCTTTTTCTTACTGAGTTCGATGCGCTCTTTCAAATGATATATGATTAATCAAGCAGCATTCCTAAACTGACTGCCGTAGCATCGCGGAACATCTTAAGTTGAAGAGACAAGTCGGTTAACATTTTTAGGCGTTTTTCAGCTTTACAACATGTGTCGTTAAGAAGCTGTAACCTAAACATTAAACACTACTATCCGTTCCAAAATACTAGGCAGGCGATTGCTTCGAAACGGAAGCTGATAGAGACTTGCGGTTTTCAGTTTTGGATAGCCACTATCTGCACGCATCCTTCCACAAGAAAAAAGTCAAAGACCGGATTTTGAGCAGATCATTGGAAAACCAGTCTAGATCTCTGAGAACTGACATTGATAGATAGATAGATAGATAGTCTAAAGTGTCCTCTCCAAAATGAATGCTAAGCAGACTCTTAATTTTTTCCGATCCAGGCGTGGCATCAGATTTCCTGAGAGCCCCAGGATCAATATTTCTTTAGGTGTGGCAATACTGAAAATAAATGGAAACATAGGTAATCAACCACGCTAAATCTCGTGGCCATATTTGTTTTTCAAAACACTATCATAAACCTAGTGAAAATCTATATTAGGTGAAATAACTCATATTTGCCTATTTTCGACTAAAACTAAAAAATTCGTAACCTAGTCAAGATCCATCGAAATTACGTCAGAATATCAAGATGTACTCTATTCTACCTGCATTATATGTAAAATAGGGGTAAAATAAGGTAACCGGCACACTCAGTGGTCACTATATGTATGTACGTCCATCACACCCGTGTACGGACAAACAAACAAACACACACACACAACACTTTTTACTTTTTTCGTATGACCATAGACTTACAGTCCATAGAATAAGTGCAACAGTAAGACTTTTGCGATGTAATGATTAGAAACGTTGTGCACCAGCAACGAAATCACAAAGTAAGATTGTCAATGCAGCTGTATAGAATTTCATAGTAGTAAATTCTTATTACTTTAATATGCTGTCTCCCCTGATGGTTTAGAAAACAGAAGTAAACACAACAGTCTAAGTGATAATAGACTAGTTCCACTAAACATTAGTCAGTGACCTTTGTTTTTCCATCCTCGTTAATGATGTCATGTTCTTTAAAAACATATACACGTTTTTTAAATGAAATAAAAAGAAAGAAAGAAAGGAAAGAATAAAAGTAAAGTTCGTCCAGTTTAAGAAAAGAAAATTGTCATGTGCTCTTACTGTGTTTACTTCATTTCTGTCTACATCTTTTATGTATTGTTTGAAAATGACTGCAAAAGTCGAAATATCATATTAAAGTAATAAGAATTTACTATTATGAAATTCTATACAGCTGCATTGACAATCTTACTTTTGTGTCAAAAACCGTTGCCAATAAAGAGAACATTTCGAAATCACAAAGTTCATGGGATTGCATTCTTTTCTCTAAATTTGTTCTTAAAAGTAGAATGCTATGAGTTTGAATAACATGCCTTCCATCCCAAGGTTTGAGACTAGTACTTCTGATATCGTAGTAGTTCATTCTGCAAATTGCCAATGATATCTTTGGCATGCTTGTCGCAGTTTTAAGTCATAAGAAGTTTTATTATCATTTGAATAATTACGCATTAAATTAGTCATATCATGCACAAATTTTTGATCTTCCCGTATACCATTTAAACATGCTTCCGAATATTTTTTTAATTTCCTCATATTACCACAATTTTCATACCAACAAATAAATGCATCAGCTAATATACAAACATCGGCAATAACTGATTTCAAACCTTTGGTTCTGTTGGTGGTGTTATATGCGTAGAGTCTCCAGCTGAAAAAAGTTTATTGCATTGTATTGGTTTAACAATAAAACTTCTTAACGGAAATACAGACTTTTCAATAAGTAGTCCTTCACGTAGTTGTATATTATTCAGACGAATTTTGATTCCTTTCATATTCTTTCATCTAACCAAACGTTGACTCTATCATTTAAATTCACTTAAGTAAATCTAATGTCATGAAAAGAAGGAATATTTTCTGTAACAGTTGGTTTTACTTTAGCTAATGCAACTAACCAGGCAAACAGATATGTATCCTCTTATGTGTGTAAAAATTCTTTTGGTATAGATTTTCTAGAAAATTAGAAAATTAATGTATAAAAATAAAATCTATACCATGGTTTTAATGGTGTTCTAAACCCTAGTTTTTGCCATAGTTAACAACATCTTGTTTGATGCGGTTTTGTTCAAAAGTCATGAATATAATTTTAGACTCGTTCAGAAATTGAAACAAAATGAAATATAAGCAATTTTCTTTCATAATACACCTTTTTGACCTCATAAGTGGCTATAATAAGTAGCTCGTATCCGAAAACTCGTCACTTTTTTTTCAAAGTATTGTATCTCATTCGATAGATAATTTTCTATTCTACAGGCTGATGAAATAAAATTTCAGGAACTCGGTGTCCAAGGCAGTCAAAGGCGAAAATATAAGAATTTGTACTAGTCTTTTAACAGACTGCTTCTTTGGAAAAAATACTTCCATCACCAAGGCTATGATGGCACTATCTGATACACTCGTACAGGTATATAGTGCTGACTTTTCTCTATCGAATGCTATAAACAAAACAAATTGGGTGGCTACTTACGAAGATATTTCACGAATACTTCTGAGTGTCAGAAAGGCCATTTTTTGAGAGTATAACTGTCAAGCGAGAAAAGTTGACCCCAGCTACCACGTCAGGATGAGGGTGAGGATTATGATGGCCTCTCTCTTAAGCTTTTCGATATTTTAGTTTGGATAAGAGATTACAGTTTTATTACTGAATAATGCAAGTTCAATGTATTGCGACATATTTTTTAACACTTGTCGTGGGACAGTACCTCTTTTTATTTTTTGTTTGTTCTTCTTATCACATCATCGTCATAAATGTTGTTGGTACTCTCCCGATTAACTTAGAAAAGAAAACAGAAGTTGTTATTCATTCATAAGATATATATGTATATATCTGGAAGCAAAGAAAAGAAAGAACCATTAGAACAAAATATTAAGGTCGCAAAGATATCGAATGGCACATTTTCAATTCGGTAAATATGACCTTCAACATAGAGGGAGAGTAGTAGATGTGCCTGAACATCCGGTAGCGAAACTCATGTACTACTTAAGCGTAGTACTGGATCTGGTCGAATACGAAGAGAGTAATCTGAATAGATTTCGGGATTTTTCGAACTACGATGATTTATCAGCACAGGAGATGCGTCTGCTTTATGTGTTATGTGCCACGTTAAGTCCAGATGAACTGATCGATAAGTGCATGTTTCAAAATGATAGTTTGTGTGGTACGTCGCAAAATAAAATTTACCAATTAGGCCATACACAACACAATCTATGGGTAGCAAATTCAATATTTCTTGCTGGTCAAAATCGACAAGTGAAAAAATTTATGGCTTATAAACAAATTTGGCTGTTAGATAACTACATTCAGCCAATGTTAGCGCTGCCCGGAGAAATCCGTAAACAACAGCAAATCGAAAATGCAGCAGAACAGTTATCAGAAGTCTGTGTCATCTCGTAAAACAATTTTTGATATTTTGTTAAAAACTTGTCTAATTGCGCGTAAATACTTTTTTCATGTGAAACTGGACTAAAGTTAAACTTGTAACTAATGAAAGAAAGGCTTGGTCAAATAAGCGTCATTAATAAAAACTTTTGTTTGTTATTTTGTTATTGTTTTGATTGCTTCTGTATCCTTAAGCACGGCGGAGGAAAATAAGGCAATTTGATGTTAGATAGAGGCTTGTAAAACCAAAACGAGTGATATTTATAATGTGTCATTTTCAACACCGTTAATTTACCGTGTAAAAACGGGCCATAACCCAGGACGTTCAGAACGGCCAAGTTAACGGCGTGTTAACGTACTGTTTTTAGACCGTTTTCAAAGCGTGTTAACGTACTGTTTTTAGACCGTTTTCAAAACGGTACCTTTACGATCCGTTAACGTAGACAACGGGACGTTAACAGGCCATTAACTTGGCCGTTTTGAACGGCCTGGGTATTAGTTAGTGATAAGTTTATGAAGACTACAGTGAGCTTTGTTTACACCCGCTCTTAAAGTAAACTATTTAAGTTAGAAACAGGCATCTCTTAGGCTTAGCATCTGCTAGCAGGTGGGCGACGCACCACATGCTCTTTTTTGAAAATATTCACTTTGCACAATACACTGACGAAAATCCAGCACTGTTCAAACCTCTGTTTGTTGCGGGGTACAAAAACTAACCTCGAGAAAGAAAAACAAACTCTTCACAGAATTCAAAACTCTAATGGCACCTGTAACGGATTTACGATACTTGATCGACTTCTCTTCTCGGGATATATTTTTTCGGCCACAAAGGGCCTTTAATTACCACTAACTTCTACTTCACACGAACAAGAACTACTCACACTATACAATCATGCATTATATATACAGAGAACGAGAAAGAGAGAGAAAAGAAGAGAGAACGATATATAATTAGGAAGAGATATTGGTGATTATCTATCTATCCGATAGAAAGGAGAGAGAAAGGAATAAAGGAAGCCTATTAGTTCTTTACACATCCTCCCCTTCGAATTCAACTGCTCCTGCAGTTGACATGTATTAGTTAAGGATGTGGATAAGTAGAGGCTGAGAAACATAATGCTTTTAAACACACAAGATAAACAATACGAAACAGAATTCAATCAATCTATCATCATTTATCAACAGAGAAAAAACGGAAAGAAAAAAACGCAATATAGTTCGTTTCATTTGTCTCCAATGGTAGAAACTCTTTGCATATGTTCATCTGATGTACAATGTTGCGAGAAATGTTTTGCCCGGGGAGTATAGCTCCAATGACAAATGATATCAATATTGAATTTTATTCCAAATGAAAGCTCGTGAAACATGGGATTAACAGGTATAGTTGGTAATGTGATCGATAATCATTGACTATAGGTTTACTGAGAATTTTAGGATAGGGAAGGAAACACGACTGAGAAAACTTTTTTTCAGAAGGTATTATTTGAAATTTATTTGACTTTAAACTGATAGATTTATTAGTTTAATGTTTATTCTTTTTGAAGTTCATTAGCATAATCAATAATCTGTGTGACCACCGTTCGCTTTTTTCACAGCACGTAATC